AGACAACAACACAACCCTTACGAAAATTAACGATGATTTTACTATAAATCCAAAGACAATGGTTTCTATTGTTAAACCATGGTAACCACAAATGAACCATGGTTCTTGCTACACTAGCCATAGTTTAACCATAGAATTTGTAGTAAAAAATAAATACAAATGGTAATCCGTTTGCCACAAAACAGACAAAAAAAACATGGTTACTGTACTTTTACTATAATATTATTTTATTTATTATTTTATTATCCTTTATTTTACCAGGAATTATCCCATTGAGATATAAATCTCTTCTACCAGGGAGTCCTGGCCAAAATGGCAGCATAGAAAGTTTCACATACAGATTAGACACACATAAAACAAAACAAAAAATAATAAATAAAATAAAAAAATATCATCCAACATCATATTAAAAATTACATAATACATTCACAAGTTTCTTCCAGGTAGAACTCCAAAAGATTTCTAAAAATATTTAGAGATGGAATTGTTTCTAACATCATAACACTCTGCATTTCATTCCATAGCCTAGGACCATAGGAGGAAAAGGCAGTTTTGCCAAATTCAGAGCGTACTCTATCGGAGCAGTCAAATGTAATTTGTAAGAGTTTCTAGTGCTATAATTACAAGTATAATATGATAAAAGATTACAAATATAAGTTGGCAGTTTACCTAATAATGCCTTGGCAGTAAATAATAACATATGCATTTTTCTCCTTTGGTACAAGGATGACCAACCAACTATTTTGTACAAAGTACAGTGATGGGAACGTGAAGATGTATTTGTCACAAATCGTATTGCAGCATGATATATACTATCCAACTTCCTTAATAAGGACAAGTTTGCATGCATATAAACCACATCACCATAGTCCAACACTGAAAGGAAACTATTTTGGATAATTCTTTTTAAAAGGAAAGCACTTCTTAATACGATAAAGAAAACCCAATTTAGGTCTGAGCTTTTTTAGAAGATTTTCCACAGTACTGTTTATTATCTAGGCATGTAATAATATCATTTGTAGTCAACATAGCAGCTGTAATAGTACTATGACCTGAGCGGAAACCTGATTGAAATTCATTTAAAATATTATTTTCCATTACAAACTGTTTTACTTGGTCATTTACAAGAGATTCAAATACTTTCGCAATAACTGATAGCCTTGAAATAGGTCTGTGATTGTCTAATTCAAAAGGGTCACCCCCTTATAACGAAGGGAGAACCATAGCTGATTTCCATGTATGTGGAATTTCATTTGAAGTTAATCTTAAATTAAACATAGCAGTAATTGGTTCTGCTATGCAATCTGCCACAATTTAAAAAAAAAATAAGGCTCTATATTATCCGGCCCTGCTGATTTTTTACAATCTAAATTTAATAGAGCTTTGTGAACTTGTGCTACTAAAATAGGAGTAAAAGTAAAAAGTTGAGGTAGGATGACATAAATCAACACTCACTTTTGTTTTATGTCCTGCTAAATTACTAACATCAGAAGTTAAACCAGCAGCAATAAAATGACTATTAAAGGCATTAACAATATTTTCTTTTCCCTTTATAATTCTTTCCTTTACCTTTAAATATTCAGGTAAACTAATAGAAGATTTTAGCCCAGAGACTGATTTGGCCAATTTCCAAAATGTTGTTGGATCATTAAGATTTTCATTTATCATGTTTAAATAATAATCACATTTAGAGTTCTTTACTAATTTTGTACAATTATTTCTTAGTGTTCTATAACGTACCCAATCCAAATGGTTATTTGTTTTCTTTGCTGTGGCCCATGCAGCATCTCGCTCTTTAATACGAGAAGCGATTAACTCGTTAAACCAGGGATTATCTCTGCCTCTTACCCTAATTCTTTTAACAGGAGCATGTTTGTTGCATTAAAAAAAGTACATTTAAAATACTCCCACGCTATATTAACATCGGATATCAATGAGACAGTAAATAAATCACTCTCATAAATATCCCGCAAAAAGGCTTGCTCATTAAAATGTTTAAATTGACACCTCAAAATAATACGTGGTGAACTTTTTAAAATCCTACATTGTCTCACACATACTATTGCACAATGATCACTAAAATCGTTACAAAAAACTCCAGTTGCAGAAAATCTATGAGGAGCATTAGTTAAAATAACATCAATTAGCGAACATTTATTTGGATCTTTTTTATTTATCCGGGTTGGAGAGTTAATCAATTGCTCCAAACAAAGAGAGTCACAAATGTCCTTGAATGGATCTGATATTTTTGATGTCCAATCCCAGTTTAAATCCCCAAGCAAAATCAGCTCTGAGTTGGTCCAGTTGTGAAGAAGATCGGTAAGTGAAGTGATAGCTTCACTTGACGCTGACGGTGGACGATAACCTCCAATCACAATGATATCGGGACCATTTGAAAATGATAATTGAACTGTCAAAAGTTCAAAACAATTTGGCTTGCTGCTAGAATGAATACAAGTACAGTTTAACGTCGACTTAACATAAATTGCTACTCCGCCACCTTTTTTTGTGCGATCTGATCTGTAGACGTTGTATCCCTCGATGTGTATCATGGAGTTTGTAATAGATTTATTTAACCATGACTCGGAGAGAACAATAATATCAAAGTTCGTTGACTCAGCCCATACTCTTATGAGGTCTATTTTATTTATCATACTATGCACATTAAGATGAAAGAAGCACAAACCATCGCTATTCTTGAACTCATCTGGAGTTTGCAGCTGCACCTGCTCTGGGCCTGGATTAGGGTGAATATTGCCCAATATTAAAAGCAGAAGAAAGACAAACCAGTTTTTTCTCACAGAATCGGCGGTCAGATGATCACTGCAGTTGGACGTTGCATAAGGAGCCAACTTTCTTTTTCCGTAGGCCCACAGGCATCGCAGTCCTCTCGATCCAACTCTCAGAATAGAGAGTGCTTGACAAGTAAGACAATTCATGAACACCCAGGTTCTCATGGGGAAATCTCCGACAACATGCTCCGAGGAAGTCACAGTGTTCGGAAGAATTGGAACAATCCACAAACACGGCACATTTTCAGGTCTCCCTTACTCAGCGCTTATAGGCACGTAGTCTTTTGGAATCCACCGTACCAGGCAGCCAAGCAGGCACTGGATTAGGGTGAATATTGCCCAATATTAAAAGCAGAAGAAAGACAAACCAGTTTTTTCTCACAGAATCGGCGGTCAGATGATCACTGCAGTTGGACGTTGCATAAGGAGCCAACTTTCTTTTTCCATAGGCCCACAGGCATCGCAGTCCTCTCGGTCCAACTCTCAGAATAGAGAGTGCTTGACGAGTAAGACAATTCATGAACACCCAGGCTCTCATGGTGAAATCTCCGACAACCTGCTCCAAGGAAGTCAGTGTTCGGAAGAATTGGAACAATCCACAAACACGGCACATTTTCAGGTCTCCCTTCCTCAGCGCTTATAGGCACGTAGTCTTTTGGAATCCACCGTACCAGGCAGGCAAACAAATAAGAGATATATCCTCATTTTAGCAGCAGAATACAAGCGGAAAAGAGCATAAAACAACGACAAACAAAAGGTTACAAGACACGCATGTCACGCACAGCCGCCATCTTGAACCATAAAAGCATGGTTAATTTTTGTAAGGGAAAAACATGACTCATGATTCCGGATAGGGGTGGGAAGATCGTTCCACCAGCCAGGAGTGGTGAACAAGAATGTTCTGGAAAGTGATTTTGAGCCTCTCTGTGATGGTACCACGAGGCGTCGCTCACTAGCGGATCTCAGACTTCTGAAGGGGATGTAGATTCGTAGTAGTGAGTGGAGGTAGGCAGGTGCTGAGTTATTAGATAACCGTATTTGAGTTGATGTATATGCTTTTATTTATTATTATTTTTGAATTAACTTTTTTTTTTTTTCCAAACCATTGTTAGATGCCGTGTTTATGCAAAGATTTGGTTTTAAAAAAGTAAACTATTTCTTATTATTTTAAATCTGCATTGAACTTAAGATCAATCTCAAAGTAAAAGGCGGTACTAAAGTCTAATTTTGTGGTGGATGTCTTGATCTTAATTCAAGTGATGAAGGATTTTGAAAGTCTGACAGTGTTGAGCACTACTGTAAGGTTAACCCTGCATGATGTTAATGTTTGAAAATGATTAACAGTTGCAAATAAACATTCATTAGAAATTTAGAAAAGTAATCAAAAAGTAATCAAAAGTACATTACTTTAATAAAGTAATTGAAAAAGTTACACTACATTTTAAATAGGGTAACTTGTAATCTGTAACCTATTACATTTCCAAAGTAACCTTCCCAACACTGAAGTTAAGTGTGACACAAGTGTCAAAAAGTGATCAAATACTTTTTGACCTGTATTGTCTGGGGTTTATCTGATCCACCAAACCTGGGCAATGTTTATTTTTCTTTCCAGTCATATAATTATGGATCAAAGTACAGATGATGATGTCATGGACACCTCTCCAGAATCATATGGAGATTCAGATGATGTCATGGACATTTCTTCAGTGTCACACAGAAATCCAAATGATATCAATCTTCCAGTGACGCATCAATATACAGAAGATGTCATGGACAGTCCTCATGAAACAGATCAAGAAGCAGATGATGTCTTGGCTCCTTCTCCAGCGACACATCAAACCCCAGATAACGTGATGGACAATCTTCCAGTGATACATGATGAAGAATATACAGAAAACCTAAACAAAGACAATTATGACCCTTTTGTGACAGACTTAACCGCTAAAATAGAATTTCAGATGCAATCAACTTCAGTTCTTTTCACATCACATGATCAAGACCTTGGTGTAAAGTCTCTTGGAACCTCAAATAAAGCACATGGAGAATACAAGGTAAATGTGATAATACACTTAAAAATAAAGGATTTAAAAGGAAGTTTTTGCAGTGATCCCATAGAAGAACCACTCTGGGTTCTTCAAAGAACCTTTCAGTAAACAGTTCTTAAAACCCTAGTGAAAAAAAAATGTACTAAAATGGTATACTTTGCTAATTTTGTGCTTAATGCACTTTAATTGTGCGGAAGTAGTGCTGAGGTCCAACTAAAGATATATGTATATCTGATTGTGCTAAATTGGAACTATTGCAAGTATACTTCAGGTACACTTTAAATATTTTAAATTTAAAGACTGATACTATACAGAAATCATTCAATCTTATTAAAATATATATTAAGACACATTTTAGGCATAATATTAAGAAATGTGCATTGTGCAATAAAGAAATACTCCAAATAAAGTTTCATTAAATTTCATATCAGTAAGTCTTAAGTGATATGTCAATAAATATGTTAATGGATTTGAAGAATACTTATGAAATAAATGCATTTTAAATAAATTGGCATCGGTTTTTAAAAAAGACATTTTAAAAAATAAATGACTTTTTAAAGTTTTATTGTTCTTGCACTCTTAAAAATAAAGGTTCCAAAAGGGGGTTTTCACAGTGATGCCATAGAATAACCAAAGAAACTTTCAGTGAACAGTTCTTAAAAGAATAATTTTTCTCAGTGTAAATTATATTTCAATAAAGGGGTCATATGATGCGATTTAAATTTTTCCTTTCTCTTTGATTTCGTTGTGAAAGCGAAACTACTTTGTTTGGCCTTCCAAAAGAGGACGATACCCGTTTCGTCATGCCTGGAGCTGATCCGTGCTGGTCGCTGAGGAAACACATCAACTTCGTGCTGTGGATCGCCGGATCGGATTTCACCGTGGACAAAGCGGAGTCCAGCCCGGCGTCGTCACATGTGGTTGCCTCAAGCCCACCCGCCGCCACCTGACGATTCAAACGCGAGTTTTGAGCAGTGTAGAGTAGCGCTTGTTGTTTGTCATTTCACCGATCACAAATGCAGACATGGTTTTATGTTTAGGTGGCACGATGCAACGCAATGCGAAAAAAAGTCAGTATAAGTCATTATAATCCGTAATTATGTCCCCACTGGATGCAACAAATGCCTCATTTATAATGGGTT